TCTGAATTGGTTGCTGTGCACCCTTTAGTATCAGTTTTCACTGAAGCAGGCTAATAAAAAGGCAAATGTAGATTTAATAGCATCACTTCTTTTTTGTTTTTCATGATCATGTCTTTCTGCATTTGTTTGACATCTTAAAAGCTCAGAAATATCTATACCATAAGAAAAGAATGCAGAACTGCCAGGGAAAGTGTTGGGATCTGAAGCCTTGACGCAGCTTCCTCTGGTGATGTAATAGTAAAGAGCAGCATGGTGCCCAGGACCAGGATCAGACCTGCAGGTAGGTCCTTGCGAGGAGTGGAGCCTGAGCAATCATGCAGCAGGTTTGGGCGCTCCAGAAGCTTCCTTGCCACAGGACCATGGGCTTTTATGGCAGCTGCATTGTGTTCTTGGTCTTGCTTCCTGATCTAAACTTGCTGTCAGTTCTCTGTGCTCTGACTGTTCCCCTGGCCTCTGGACTGACCGTACCTTGTCAGGAACTTGCTCCTTGCATTTGCCTCTAGTTCTCCCATACCTAATTGGCATCTTTTCCTTGCCCTTGTGCCTGATACCATTATGCTTTGTCAGCATCTGACCCTTGGCTGTACCCATCTCTGCCTTTATCTCTGTACCTCATTGATATTTGATTTCACTTGCTCATGACTCTGCCTTTACATCTGGCCATGCCTTGCTGGTATCTGACCTCTGCTTGTTCTTGACTTTATCTTTGCTTCTGGCCCTGCTGCATCATGCCATGATCTCCATCCACTTCTTTCACCCCGGTCCTGGTACTTTGGTCATAGACACATGCTCACCTAGTAAAGAGAAAAAAAGAATGAGGAAACTTGTCCAATAATGAGATGTTCCCCAAAGGTACCTGATTTTCTAAGCGTGCTGGAGAGGCTGGAGAGGCTGGGTCAAGCTAGGGATGAGTGAGGAATCTGCCTTGGAGATGAGGATCCATCAGATTCGGGGGCTTGGTGGCTCACTTTCCTGGCCCATGAGTCCAGCCACCTGGCAAGCATGCTGAATGCGCATGCAAGGCTTCCCAGGACTCAAGCACGGTGCAAATGTTGTGCATGTGGTGCTCCTCTTCCCTGCACATAACATGCAGCCTTTGTTTCTGCTGCACATTACATGGAAGAGGTTGCTGGTTGCACGATGGGGGCTCCACAAGAGGCCAGGGCCTTTCACTCAGCTTGGTTCACTTTCTAAGACAGGGCTGAGCACAAGAGGAGGTCTGTGAACTGCAGGGGGATGGATTCTGTGGAGCTTCGTTGCTCCCCAAGACAGTATCTGGACAGGACTCTGGGAGGGGTTGCATGGCATGATAATATACACAGTCTAGGAGCTATCCAGGCAGTGAAGCTTTGATAGGAGGCAGGGACAAGAGGGACAGTCTCTGTAGAAGAGGCCCAGCAGAATGCAGCTCCTTCCAGAAGACAGCTTGCCCCTGCCTGGTGCCATGGCCATTTTTGTTGACAAGGACTCCTTGTGAGCTCAAGAGAAAGTGGCTCTGATCCTGCTCATCACTGTTGTACATGCATGGCAATGACAAGCAGGAGTATGGCTGCCTTCGTTCTGCCTGGTAAGGACTCCTGGCCAGCTGGACTGGGAGGCGATCCTGCCTTGTGCCAACTCCTCATTTGAGGCTCGAGGAGAAAGCAGGCTGTGGATGCCAGTGGCCCTGTCACACACCTCCTCCTCAAGCCCACCGCCTCCCCAAATGCCAAAAAGGGGTGGAGAGGCTGAATGCAGTGGCAACCAACCTTCTGTGTCACTTGGGCACTTTGTGGACAGCTGTCCTTGGCACTGGCCTGGAGACTTTCGGCAAAAGCAGTAATGAGATTTTGCCACTCCTGCCAAGAGGCTTGCTTGTTGTGGAGCTTTGTGCTCCATAGGTCATGTTGCCAGGGTTTGGACATCAAGCCACTGTGAGACAAACTCACCCTTCAATAAGCCATGGCTTGTCAGAGTGGCCTAAAAGTCAGGCGAAAGCTATCCTGGCAAACCATTCCAGGCTTAGATGACAAAGTCACCACAACGTTTTAACCACAATGACTTAGCAAGCTGTATGAACTCATTCAGTGTATTGGAACCTCACCTCTTCCACCATAGATTCCATGGAAGATATCAATTGATATAAAATGAATTGTCAAGATATAAATTTAATAAGTACCCCCCCACACACATGCACAGAAAGAATTTAGATGTAAACATGGGAATGAGCCTAACATCTCAATACAAGTGGAAAGAATGGAGAGTATTGCAGAAATTAAGAGTTGGAAATGAAGTTTCTTTCTTGTTTAGGACAAAAGCAGGCAACAAAGTATACAAATATATTGCAAATGTATTAGTTTATGGAATAAGTTAAGTCTAGGTGTACATAAACTGATAGCCATAATATATTTAGAAACAAAATTAACTTCAGAGTTTTTCATAATTCAGAATGTCATGTTTGAAAATATGGAGTTGCTTGTGAGTACAGCTATATAGGACTGGCCGCTAATGAATGAACCTGACCAGAGTCTGCACACAGTCCTTCATTTTTGATGGCCTGCTAAAGCCAGGCAGTTCCAGATCTGATCAGTACTGTCTGCATTTCAGTGTATGATGACTTCCATAGAAGGTTGTGCAGGCTACGAATAGGAAACAGCTAATTAAAGGGCCAGTGAAGAAAGTAACCTCAATAGGGCTTTGCCAGTCCACACAATAACAGCTGGCACTATAGCTGTGCTTAAACTCAGAAAAAAGAAACCACAACAAACAAGATCTTTATTGTTGCCATTTTTAAAGAGTACAACAGAGTAAATGCTACACTGAAAGAGTTTTGCTGCACTGCCTGAACTTGACGATGTAAGTCAATGAGAAAACAGCTAGTGCAGAAAAGAGAGAACAGGGAAACAGTGAATATAATAATAATAATATTATACAGAGTAAGATAATTAAAACTTAATCTCTTGTAAAATATTGGAATTAACATGGGTCTCAGATTAGAAAAATGTAAGCGACATTGTGGTAAGAAAGAAGCTCAAGACTTAACAGAGCTATTCAGTGAAGATGATGGAAGGAGAAGGACCTTCTATCCTTGGCTAGCCAGGCCTTTTTCGAGGCTTCCCCTCCCACCCCAACATTTGCTTCCCACTACTCTCAAGGGAAGCGAAGCGAGCTATGCCAGCTCCAGGGCTGGCATGACTTGCCTCCCACCTCCATTCTAAGGATGTGTTGAGGGAATAGGACAACTCTGGATACCGCAGGCCCGGAGCCTCCCCTGATCTGCCTCGTGGTAACTGCCCTGCCCAGAATGCCTGCTTTTCACCTGTTCAGCTGTTGAAATTCCAATGGTGGAAAAGCAAAATGGAGGAACTTCCTGCCACCACATGGAAGAAACCTATGAAGGTAAACTCCACCCACAGTTCACATTCGCAGTGGGTAGAGATGGAGCACCACTTCATCCTATGACTCCCCTACCAAGAACCACCAATGACTTACACCTCTGAGAGTCTCTCTCTTTCTCCCACACACACACACACCCCGGGGCAAGTGTGGCAGTGAAAGGCCCTCCATATACATTTGGCTCAGTCAAGGCGCTTACTCTAGAAAACGCCCTTAAGTACTTCCAGAAGCAACTTGCCAGGTGGGCCACACACACACACACACACACACACACACTTATTTTCTCTCTCCTCCTCCCATGCCAAATACCCTCATTCCCTTTTGCAGAGAGGTACATGGTTTGGCTTTACATTCATAGTATAATGGATCACTATCTTCTCCAACAGTGCTGTGCTGGATGCTGGAATCACATTTTTAAAAGCACCTTGCCTCAGTGTCCCCACCCCACAAAAAGAACATACACTGCATCCTACAGAGGTTTATTTATTACATTTAGAGAACAAGCCTGTAGCCTTCCATAGTATTTCCAGAGCCCATGCAATTATCCAGAGTCCCAGCAATGCGATCCCAGAGCTGGCACTTGGAAGACCAAGTTGCTGTGCCAGCCCCTCACCCCAGTCAGTGCTAACAAACATGCTAAGACCACAAATACACTTTGGGTGGGAAATGAGAGATGGGCTACGGGAGGGGAGGGACTGGGCTAGGCTTGAGGACTTAGGCCATTCCTATTGGTGGCCAGGCCTTTCTCTCTCCCACTCACTGATGCTTTATCAATCGACAAAAACAGCTGTTCAGATAAAAGTCAGGGCAGGACCGCTGCGCCCCCCCCCCCCCCCCCCCCCCGTGGAACATAGGATGCATGTCAGCCTCCAAGCTGGGAGGCTCTCATGCCCCAAGGGTGGGGGCAACAGGGTTGCTCCCTTGCTTATTTATTTAGAATGTATGTAATGTGCCATTCCCTTGGGGAAAGCTCAAGGCAGCAAACGCCGAGAATAAAACCAAAGCGGCACATAAAAGAACCCTGACAGTATAACAATAAAGCCTTAAATATTAAAATGGTAGCAAAATTTAACAGAAAACAGCAGTGAACACTTAATCAAAACCCAGAGACAGCTAAATGCCAAATTCATTAAGACAGGACAGGGCTTAGGTCACAGGACGCACAGACAGAGGCACAAGTTTGCATCTGTGCCCATTCCCCCCCCCACTTCTTCCTCCTATTATCATTCATTTATTCCATTTCTAAACTACCCCACAGGCAAAGCTCTCTGGGTGGTTTATAACAATGGATAAAACAAAACAAGAAATACAATACAAATACCATAAAAACAACAGTGTTAAGATGAATTTAAAATAGCTAAAAATACAGTAAAAAGACTGCAAAGGAAAACAATCACCTGAATAATTCCCTCAGGCCCCTGGATAACCAAAGAGATCTTTAAGGCTCCTTCCCAAGGGACTGTCTTGGCCTGGCACCAAAAATAGGGCAAGTTTGGTGCAAGGAGGGGTACAGCAGGAAGGTTGTTCTAAAGATAGGGGCCGCCACAAAAAAGGCTCTTGCCCCTTGTTGCCACCGTCCGAGTCTCCTATGAGGCTGGCGCTTGGAGGAAGACCTTGGAGGTCGAGCAGAGTTTCTGAGCAGATTCCACCACCACAAATTGGACAGTTGTGTTTCCTGCATTTGGAGAAATGGCAGGGTCAGCATACCTCGAGTGGAATGGATGAGCCTCATTCTGGGAAAACTACCTGCTTGGTCATGGTATCTCCCCTGCCAGGTAAGAGTGTGTGTGTGTGTGTGTGTGTGTGTGTGTTTGAAGGTTCCTTTCCCCCAAGGATACAGCTATTTGTAAAAAAGGGAATCTATGGACAGGGGTGATGCAGGAAGGGCAGTAGCAAGAAGGGAAACAAAGGCAAGTCAAGTGGAGCTGTGCAAAAACAAAAAAACCGAGAGAAAGAGTGAGAGAGAGAGCGCGCATCAGGACTGTGGCAACTTTATCGCAGCAAGTGCTTGTGGGCAGCAGGCCAGTGGGGCAAAGGGCCTCTCAGAGATTCCAGGTTCCCAGTGAGAGATTCAGGGCTCCAGCACCACTGGGGTTCTCCCAACACCCTCTCTGAGATGGCATTTTACTGCTGATATCTTTCCCTGAAAAGGAGGTTTTTCACCACACTGTGGAAGCTCATCAGAGGGGCAGCGAAATGCACATCCCTTGGGCGGGAGTTCCAGGGCCCGGTCGGGCTCTCCCCTTAGGCCCAGCTAAGAGGATTTCTGGGAATGTCAGGACTCTTGTAATCCTCTATGCTGAGTGTGGGTTTGGGAGAGACTTCTTCTCTTAGGACGGCAACACACCTTTCTTTGCAGGGAACCATTCAAGTCCGGTCTAAAGTGAAGGAGCCGCCCAAGGGGAGAGCAGCAGCTGCCCCCCCCACCCCCCGCAACTGTTTGCCCCTGGACAGTGGACTGAGCAGGCAAGCAGATCCCCGGCTCACAGACCTCTAACTCTGTCAAGGCATATTATATTTCTGTTTTGATAATATCAAGTTCCCCATTTGCATCCACACTTCTAAATCCATACATAAACATTTCCTGTGAATCAATGCCTTCTTTGGGGCTTTGGCATAGGCAAATAGCCACCCTTTCCCAGCATTTCACTCCATAAGGGGGTCCCAGATTCCCTCTGGGGAAGGGCTGCAGTTCAGCCATAGAGGACCCGCTTTGAATGCAGGTGATCCCTGATCCAGTCCTGGAGATGTCCAGTTCAGACGAGGAAAGATGCCTGCTTGAATCCCTGCAGGCCACTGTCAGTGTTGGCCATAGTGGGGAGAAGGAGCAAGAACCTGACTCCATTCCATGGGAGGAGCCCTGTGCAGCACAGCAGCCACCGAATGGGCACGTCTGGTCCCAGCGCCACTGCCTGCTGAATCTAGAGAGAGGATATGTAAAGCGGATGCAGTAACTCTGACTCCCCACCAGATGCAGCTCCTCTTTTGGGTTGATGTTCTGTCTCCCCATCCCCAAAGCTGAGGAAAGGAACTCAGGCAAGTACTGAGTGACAATTAGCCTGAAGAGAGACTAAATGGGCCCATGGCTCTTATAATGTGAAAGTCTAGTCTTATTTGCTTTTACCTGGAAACCCTCTTGCTCAGTAGCCTCTAGGATTGTTCTAATTCGTCCCTAAAATTAAAGTGTAACAAGGCTTTTCTTCATATTTTGTCCAGGCCAAAATTGCTGCTACAGTTTGAAAAAAGTTGGCATTTAACAGGCTGTTCCCTATTTAGCAAGCAGAGTAAATTTGTGTGTGCAAGGCTGTAGCCTGTCATGCTTCCAGTCAACTGCTGAGCATCTTCTTGCATTATATACTTTGGGAAGTCTTTTCCTTTTCTGACAGAATGATGTAATAGCTTGTGGAAAAGAGGCCCAGCTCCGCACCTGTCTGACGATTACAGAACTCTTTGGTAATCTTTGTCCAGTATATACAGTTTGGGGTTTCTCTGTATCTGATCAGGAAAAAGTTTTCTTCTGCATGGTCATTTTCCTTTTTGGGTTGATATGTCAGCTCCAACAGAAAGAGGTGTGGTCTCAACACAGCTAAAAAATAATTAGGGGTAGCACTACATACCTAAAAGATCCAGGCCTAAAGAAATACAAAAGACAAAAGACACAATTTGCATATGCTAATTTATCTATGCTCTAAGGTCTTTCTCTGTGTTTAAAAGACCATGTCCTGGAAAGACACCCCTTTTTGTGAAGGATGAATGGAGCTGGGAAAGGAGGGCATTTGATTTGGTGGGGGGAGAATGCAAGGAACCCTCATGAAGAAAGGCAGTGTGAGATGGATCATATCTGGGCCAAAAGTCAACTGATCCAGGAGATCAGGTGCCACAAAAATCATCAGGGTGCTGTACCTTGATTTTGGTGAGTGCCCATGGATAGCGGGTATAAGAGACAGGTGGCCCTCCCTGGGACTAGGGGTTTCACACGAAAGTTTCAGGGTTCCAGCCCTAGTGCAATGTGCCCAATGAACATGACACTTGTTGAACCTGCAGTTGTTCTTCTAAGTTACTTGCCCAAGTTGGAGTTGCTGCGGCCATCTAGCATTCATGCCTACAAAAAAGAAATATTCTTCAAACCAGCTCTTTCTGCAAGAAGATTCTTAATGGTTAGCATGAAGGGCCAAGTACATGACCTTTAACTAATAGTTAGAAATGGGCTAACAAGAACTAGGATGGGACAATTAGTCACAGAGGTACATGCTTTTACAGTGAATTGAACCTAGGAGAATTTAGGATCTCTGACCATGTCTGAGAGATCCAGAGTTTCTTCTTCAGGACTCCATCTTACATTAAAACTCATACTTCAGCTTGCCACCTGGGGAAAGAGTAGGGTCTCTTAACATCCTGAAGCTTTCCCAGAGATTCATAGCTTTTTGATGTCTAGATGTTCCTCAACCAACCACATATCTAGTGTCATGTAGGCAACCCTTGTTGGGTGGTTTCAGAAATCCTGGAAAGATCTCTTTCTGCAAGGGCTATGGCAGCCCTGAACTATTTTTCAGTCCTCTGACAACTGGATAAATCCTCCAAGCATCCTGCAAGCTCAGTGGAAATTCCCCTAAAGATTTGTTGGGAGGACCATTTACTGAGGGGTCATCTCTTCCCTTTGTGCTTTGGTCTATAGATCCAATTCGCCCTCCATTTCCTCAGGAGTTGGTGAGGAAGGAGAAACTCTGCTCTGTAGTGATAGTCATTGAAGACTATGGCTCAGAAATATTCTTCAGTGTCTGGGGGCTAAGAAGCAGACTCCCCCTCAAAACTGATCTTGAAACCTGTCTTTCATCTGAAGGAGGGGCCTTTCCTTTCACTATTCTAAATGCCTTCCTCTGCTAAAAAGAATGGAAGCACAAAGGTAAACCAGATGATTTTTACATGTAGGACTAAAGTAGCCCAAAGAGCCTAGCAAACCTCACAATACATTGTTTGAAGATCCCCTTCCTGTCATCACCCAGGACAGCAGCATTCTACACACTGCATATTCTCATGGGAGGAAGTGGGAGAGTGATAATTCCTGATAATTCCTGTGTATTGCTAGGGATAATTAGTTTAATACCTGGGAATGATCATCTTTTCCCCTTGTCTCCCAGGATGCTGTCCCTACTTGTCTCCTCTCTTTTCTTCTGTTAATAGTTAACTCTTTTTCTTTCTGTTTCTGGTGCTGCTCTGTTTTTATTTAGCGGAGTCATGAGATGCTGCTGCATCAGCTGGGGGAGGACTGAACATAAGAAGGCCATGCTGAATCAGACCAAAGGCCTCTCTCATCCAGCAATCTGTTCATGCAGTGGCCAGACAGCTGCTTGTGGGAAGCCCACAAGTAGTACATGTGTGCAGTGGCGCCCCCTGCTCATGTTCCCCAGGAACTGGTATGCAGAGACTTGCTGTCACTAGTCCTGGAAATCATATATGGATCGCTCTTATGGAAGCCTTATTCTCCCTAGCTTTAAGCCCCTCCTGAGAACATCTAGGTTGGTGGCCACGGCTGCATCTTCCAAGAGTGAATTCCATAGCAAACTCTCAACTTTGCACTTAGTATCAGAGCTAGAAGGAACTTTGGGATGTGCAGCCCAACCCTCTATTCAGTGCCATCTACATGCGGCCATCCAGCCATTGCTTGAATACCTCCAGAAAAGAGCCCACCGTCTCTGAAGGAAACCTGTTCCACTGCTGAACAGCTCTCACTGTGAAGTAGTTTCTTAAAATATTTAGCTGAAATCTCTGAAAATGTCCTGCTATTTCCACCTGTTGGTTCTAGTCCTTCACCCTGAAGCAATGGAAAAAATCTGCTCCATCTTCTGAATGACAGCTTTTCAGATATTTGAAGAATGTTATCATGTTTCCTCTTAATCTTCTCTTCTCCAGGCTAAACATACCCAGCTTGACAGATTTGGTTTCCACACCCCTTATCTTCTTGGGTGCTCTTCTTTGTGTGTGCTCTAACATCTCAATGTCCTTCTAAATATGGAATGTCCCGGGCTGAACACAATATTCCAAATGTAGCTTGACAACCCAAGATCATGGCACTGTCTGCCAACCATGATCTGGGCACTGCGCTTCAGTTTTTGCAGCCCAACAGTTGCACTAGCTTCCTGAGGTGCCATATCATCCTGCTGGCTCATATTTGTATTGTGAAGAAACGCTCCCCTTTATCTGTCTTGTGTCTCACACCACACAGCTGCATGAGACATCCCTGGGTTCTAGTATGATGGCAAAAGGATTAAAATGACCCATGCTCACTTTCTCTACACCATCCATAATTCTGCAGATTCTAAGTAAAACAGTCCCTGATGTTGTAACTTCTCCTTTGAAAGGAGTTGCTCCAGCCCCTTGATCATTTGGGTTTTCCTTGCCTGGGAGTGACCAAGCACTGTACATAGTATTCCAAGTGTGACGGTACTATAGATTTGTGTAAGAGCAGGAAGAGATTGGCAGTTTAATGTTAAACTCTTTCTCTATGTCCAACATGGAAGTAACTTCAGCCTTGCTATAGGGGCATCCCAAAGCTGAAAAATGTCATCCTACCATATCCTGGAATGAAAATTCAGCATGAAGTAAATCTGGATGGTCTTCTGAAAGGATGTTTCGTTTACAGTCAGAATGTGTCATTTTAAGATGGCAAGAAACAGAGGTTTGCCGTCATGTGAAAAGTAGAGATGCCCTATGTACAGTCTCGGACCTCAAAACACAGTTGCTGGGAAGAGCTGGGCTACATTCTCTTCGCTACAGGAAAGAAAT